AGCACCTCAGCACCCTCATAGTAGCTCAATTAACCATGTTTGTTCCTAAAAGGTAGAGTCTTATCATGGAGATCTTATTAATACATACAAAATTTATTATCAAAGTGAAATAGCCACTAAATTAAGGAAATCTTAGCATTTGCACCAATTCTGCTTCAACATCACCTGACCAAGCTAAAAAAAGCCTGCCTCAAAAAAAGACCCCAACAACAACCACCTGTTCAAAATGTAGTAAAAATACTTCTAAATAAGCAGCAACATCCTTTTTCTTTGGTTTCTACTGGTAAGATGCTAGCTAGACAACACCAAGTATAATGGGAACCTTTTACGCCACATGCAAAAATAACTGCGAAAGAGGTATGACACCCATGCCCAGTTCATAGCAGTACATGGTTTACATATCTGAGTGCATCAAGGATTAAAAATTACCTGTTTCTCCTGGACTATTTATGAGAAACTGACCCAACTTCATCTTGTATTTTAACAATCTCCTGAATCATCTTAATAAAGCTCTCTTAGGTAAAGCTCAAAGTGAGCTCACAACAGCACACAGACTTTCAGGCCCAGTATGATCCCAGAGTAATAGAGAAAGCAAACCTGTGGCTTTGCAACAGAAGCTCTAAAAACACAGATATTAACTACAATACAAAGCCATTTCTGTTCATGATTAATTTCAAAAGCAGCAGGTATCTGTTTATAATAGAAATAACAGTAAATAATAAAAAAATCTTAGGCATGCAGATAACCAACTTCAAAGTTATACTATGCATATACTTAGTCCATAAAAGCTCTCTAAGACTTTTCTGGCTCTTCAAATGCACATCTGAAGCCCACCCTCAATTGCTGTAGCTACAAACACAACTAGATGTATCAGCAAGTAAAGACGGGCAGCAACGACAACAATCAGCAACACTTCTACACTGCTGTTCTCCTACAGGGCTTCACTGTGTCTTCAAACGCCTACAAAACGCACCCAAGCTACAAACACCCCAACCTGCTCAGCCGAAGAGACCCTGAACGCTGAAACCCCGCTGCCCACCCCGTTACAGGCCTGAGTTCACAGCCCCTCCCGATTGCGGGGTGCAGCGACACGGGAGTAGAGACGGAAACACACGTTCTCCCTCCTCCCGACACCCAGGTGTGCACGAGTCCCTCCGCTGCTGCAATTCCTTTCCTGCTTCCCTCGGAAGCTCCCCACCAGCACTAATGAAAGGGACACCTTCCTGCTCCGTGAGAGCCGGCGCAGTCCGGCGGCTCAGGCCCGGCCACACGGCAGGCAGCCCACTGCGCCGAGCTACCCTCTTCTGCAGCCCTCCGGGAACCGGCCCCGGCCAAACAGCGACCCCGCAGCTCCTCGCTTCCTTTTCGGGGCGCCTCCACAGCCCGTCTCAAGCAGTGCCCGGCGGGGCATGGAGCCGCAGGTCGCGGAGTTGGGAAGAGGAACCGCACCTAGGCTGAGGAGTGTTTGTACTGGTACCAGCGCTGCCGCAGAGCCCCCCTCGGGACACCCCGTCCGCCGCGGCCCAGCACCGCTCACGGCGACGGGCGGCCTGGCCCCGCGCGGGAGACGGGAAACAGCGCCTCGGCCGCGGGAGAGCCACCGCTCAACCCACCCCCCACCGCGGACAAACCTCCGAGGGCCACTCGTGCCTCAGCGCCGCACGGCGAGCCCGGGCCGGGCCGCGGAAAGGGGCGAAGAACGATCCGGTCGCACCCAGGCGGCGGCGGCCGTTACGACGCGCCGCCCGCCTGTGCTGAGCATGCTCACAGCGTGTAGGGAGGAAGGCGGGGGGGGAGGAAGGGGGGGGTACAGCGGGTGCCCGCGCAGCCGGGCCCGCCTCCGCTTCCGGGGCTGCTCGCACCGCCCCGCCCCGCCGCTTCCGACCGCACTGCGCAGGCGCTAAGGGAAGGGCTGGAGTAGGTGGCTGGAGTATCAGGCTGTGTCTTGCTTCCGCCGCCCTGGCTCCCCCTGCTCTGAACGGGCCGTGAGGCATCAGGCAGACCCCTCCGTCCACCTCAGAGACCAGGTTTAGACTGTTCCGAGAGCGGACCTGGAGCTCGATGTGGGGGGGTCCGCAGTAGCGCCCTGGAGGAGCCCGAAGGGGAGATCCTGAGGGGAAGCGGCTCTTTAAAAGCCAGGCAGCCTGTCATTTGTTAATTTGTTAATTATCGGCCAGGGCAGTGCTGCAGTCACCGTCCTGGAAGTGTTCACACACCATGTAGATGAGGCCCCCAGTGACATGGGTTAGTAGTGGCTTTGACAGTGCTAGGGAACGGTTGGACTGGATAGCTTAAAGGTCTTTTCCAACCTCGATTCTGTGATTCCATTTGGATACATCCACCAAGAGATAGAGACAGAACAAAACGGTAAAGCACAGGAATTTTCCAACCTGGAAATGTGGACTGTTTCCAAGCACCCATTCCTCTTGGGTTTTCTCCAGTCACATACCTTCGTGCATAGCACATTCATAGTGCTTTCCACTGGCCCTCTCTGTCCCAGAATTGGTGTTCTGTCATTAACAGATGAGACATGGCAAAATCACCGCTCCAATTCTGATCTGAGAGGAGACAGGGCAGAGACAACACCTTACATTTCATAAATGACATGTGGCAGAGTGTACTGTGCTGGAGTAAGTGTGTCTCTTGCCCAGATGGAAAGAACATGGTGTTTGTCAGCATACTTAGCCACAGAAACATAGAATCAACCAGCCTGGAAAAGACCTTTAAGATCATCCAGTCCAGCACTGCCAAGGCCACCACTAACCCATGGCACTGAGGGCCTTGTCTACACAGTGTGTGAACACTTCCAGGGACAGTGACTCCAGCACTGCCCTGGGCAGCCTATTCCAATGCCTGAGCACCCTTTGGAGAAGGAATTGTTCCTCATCTCCATCTAAATCTCCCCTGGGGCAGCTTGAGGCCCTTTATTCTTGTCCTGTCCCTTGTTCCTTGGGAGCAGAGCCCAGCCCCCTCCTGGCTCCATCCTCCTGTCAGCTGTAGGGAGCAATAACATCCCCCCTGAGCCTTCTCTTCTCTAGACTGAACCCCTCAGGTCCCTCAGCCGTTCCTCATCACACTTGTGCTCCAGGCCCTGCACCAGCTCCCTTGCCCTTCTCTGGTTCCGCTCCAGCACCTCAATGTCTCTCTTGTAGTGAGAGGCCCAGAGCTGAACGCAGGATTCAAGGTGCGGCCTCAGTGCAGGGGGGCAATCACTAGCCTGGGCTACTGGTGCTGGTACAGGCCAGGATGCTGGTGGCTTCTTGGCTGCCTGGGCACAAGCTGCTCGTGTTCAGCTCTATCAGTCAGTACCTCCAGGTCCTTTTTCAATAGGCAGCTTTCCAGACATTCTTCCCTAAGCCTGTAGCATTGCATGGGTTGTTGTGGCCCAGATACAGGACCCATGTTAGGATGGAAAAACATCACATCCTTTACTCAGTACTGAAAACCTCAAATTTCAGAAACAAATCTAAACTTTGCCCTGCATTACCTAACTTTATTTTCCTGAAAAACAACAGTTTTAAGCAGAAGATTAGCAATAATCTGATTTGGTTCCTTAATGTAAATTCCAATGTCACAAAAGGAAATATTAAATTCATTTAGGGATACAGCTTAAACACCCATAAGAGGAGTCTTAGCTTCCTGTAAGCAGAAGAAACAGCTGAAAACTTTTACCATGATTCCTACCCGGATGCCTTGATCCACCATCCCCGACACTGATAGAAAAAGGCTCCTGCATCACTATTTAATGAGCCTCAGGTGGAAGGGGGAGTAGACAAGTAGTAACTGTCTGCCATAAAGAGGGTGAGCTGAGGGACTGGTTAGTTTCTTGCTGGGCTGTAAGCTATAGTAGCATGGACCTTAGCTTAGTAGGGGCTCTAATGGGGTATGAATAGCTTAAGTCTTGTAGGCTTAGGGTTTAGTTTCTTTGAGTTTTTTTGGTGGGTTGGTTTTTTGGTTGGTTTTTTTTCTGTATTACTTGCTTTTTCCAAGGCTAAAATAATTCTGGGAGTGTGGGCCTAGAGAAGTAAGGGGAGCCTGTAGGCTTTTTGGTGCTTACGGGAGCTGGTGGGTCATTCTAGATGGCAATTGAAAAGGGCTCCAGTGTTCCTGGAAGCTTTCTGAAGCTCTAGGCTGAACTGTGTGCTAGCCTGTAGCAGGTCTTGAATTCAGTTTTCTTTCCTTGTGATTTTGAAATGTTTAAGCTTTCTAAAGAGCTGAGTTGCTGTCTGTTTTTCCTGCTTAGTCACTAGACCTTTTGTGTTCTTCACTGATCTTTTTTTATTACTCTTCCTGCTTGTAAGCTATGTGTGACAGGATTGTATTATTTGCATGGTTTGGAATAGACTGAATTTAGCATATTAGTTAACTGAGGAGATGCGTAAGTGTGGGAGGGAGTTCTCTCTTGTGAATTTTGTATGGCTTTGAATGTGAGCTTATGCATAAATATTTTCTTTGTTACCTATTATCTAGTTTAAGTGTAGTGCCGCTCAAATACTTGGGTTATTGTGTTAGCTGACCTTGTTCTTGAGTATTTTATGAAGTGCATTTCCTGAATTAATAGAGCTCTTATAGTGGTCTCAAATGCAACACATGTGTTAGCATTAGGAAGTGCTTTTTTCATAATGCACTAAACTTCTGAGTGTGTGAAGTTGCCATTGAGTTTTTTGCTCAAAGCTAATTTTTACTTGTCTGGAACACTACTTATATGTATATATAAGACTACACTAAACTTACTAGTCCTGTGGCTTTAAAATATGTTATAAAACTGGATTGAAGTACTACTTCTGAGAGCTGCCTATAAAAGCTTGCTTAACAGAGGATAAGATAAAATCTTTGACCTTGACAGTAATGCAAATTATTTACTTTGTTTGGAAGATAATTGCTTTTTCCTGGAAAGTTCTAGTTTCATTGGGCTGGGAGAGGAATATCTGCTGAATTCTGACACTGCATCAAAAACATGAGGTCACACAGTTCTTTCAAGTGGTTAATTCTGATTATTTTTCTCTTTCAGTGTTTAAAAAAAGAAAATGAATACTGCCTCAGCTTCAGAGAGTGGATCGTATTCCACAAACCACACAAGACCCTTTTTTTATGTACAACAAGCAGCACAACAGCCTTTTCCAAGTACATGGTACCTCAGTCATCCATATGGTCCATACTGTATACCTGCTCCAGGTAAAGTAAATGAGAGCTGTCTGTGGTAGCTTTGCTTAAGAAGTTAATAATTGTTTCCTCCACTTATTAAGTGGAGGAAACAAATGTGTATTTGTGTTAAGAAGCTTCTTGGGAATTTATGGTAGTAGTATTGCAATGTTTTAGTTACCAAAAATCTGATTTATGGAGCGTTAGTTAAATGTGTAGCTTGTGTGCTGGAAAGCATCTGCTTGTGGAGAATGGAAGCTAAGCAGAATATTAAGTAATGGTTTTCCCACAGATACAGAGGTCTAGAATATGCCTAGCAATTAATGTGTGTGTACATATTTGAGTTATGTATACATATTGTACATATGGATAAATACAAACTTAAAGATCCACATAGAAACAATATTGTTAAATACATCTTGTAAACGTGTGCATGTTACCATTTATCTAGAGCTGTATTTTTCAAAGGCAATGCTATAACATAGTCCATAAAGTAGCAAAGAGGTATGGAAAGCTAACTGGTGTACATTCCAAGTTTTATTTCAAATGTAGCTCTCCAGATAAGCTGTTCCATAACAAGGAGCCCTCTCTGCTTTTTTTCACCAGATTTGCTTCCAAGTGTTGGTGGGGGAGTGTCTTTCTTACTTATGTTCTGATCTTGTAGATGTTCCTGTGTATGCAAGAAACTATTAATTGGAATGACTTATTTCAAGAAGGTATATTTGTCTGCCTTTTTTCATTCCCAATGTTTAGGCTTCCGAAGTGGACATCCCTATTTTCCATTTTATTCTGTTGCACTCCATGAGTACCCTGGATTTCTTGTTCCACAGCAACCAGTACATGCAAGAGTTAACAGAAGGCCTTATTTTAATGCTCCCCAACCTTCCCCTATGTTTTATCATGCAACAAGATTTAGACACTATAGTACCCCTGGGAAAAAGATGGAAACAAAAGAAACACAGACTGATCCTAGACAGCCTGAAAACAAGCAAAAGAAGCATCAGGATATCCGTATGGAAACGAAAGGTTGTGATGCAGGAAATGCTGCCTGTGTTTCTTCTGGCATAGGTACAGAGACTGAAAGTACTTCAGAGAAACAAGATTCATCTGGATCTTCCATTGTGGTAGACAGGGAGTTTCATAACAAGAGCCCTTCCAGCTCTACACAGTATAGAAGTCTTCCTACTGGAAGCTATGCCTTTGAGAAGGAAGAAGTGAGGATAGAATATGGAAATGGCTCTCCAGCTATTCAACTGTGGAAGTCCTTTAAAGAAACTATCCCTTTGTATGATGTGGCAAGTGGTAAAGCAGTCCCAGAGAATATAGTGCAGCGTGACTTATTTTCTGTTAGCTCATGTGAAGGAATGATGTATAGCACTCCTGAAGGGGAGAAAATGGTAACAGGAGCTTCCTTAGATGAGAAAAAATCTGTTCTCCCCTCTAAACAGGGTGTTGAAACTGTGCAAGAAAAAGAGGTCCAAAATAATGAGGAGAAGCTGGATGCAGAAAAGCAAGTGAATGCAAGTCAAGGGGCAAAATCCCCCCCAGGTGAACCCATGGCAGTGCAAGTCACAGAGCTGTCAAGGTCTGTTAGCATAGATCAACCAGTGGTAAGACAGGATGTGGTAGTAGCTAAGAAACTGAGCTCTAAAAAACCTACTGGCTCAAAAACTTCTCAAGAAGAGCCCAGCTTTATTCAACAAGCAGGACTGCTTCCATCTAGCATGGAGGTTATGAGTGACTTGAGTTTCCAGCAGAAAAAGCTGAACCGAAGCCACAATGTGACCAGTGAAAGTCAAACTGATAGGAGTGTTTGGTGTGACGAATCCATGGAGAAGTACGTTCCTTCTAGCAGCTGGCTGGCTTGTGTGGACGCTATGGACACCAACTACACCTATGATATTTGTCTGCCACAAAGGAAGCGTCAAAGTGTACTCAGTCTTTCTTCTGATGACGTGTCCTCTAGAGAGGAAGGCTCATCAATTGACAATGCCCCAGTGTCTTATTTTGTCCCCGACTATGTGCTTCACAAAAGCATGTATGCTTTCCAGAAGAGTACAGAGGGCTTGGAGAAAGAGAAAATTAAAAGTGCCGGGTCCCTTAATGAAGATGAAGTGGTAGGAAGGGAGCAGATTAATAGCTTGCATGACCAAGATGTCAAAAGCTCTTCAACCATGAAGATTAAAGAGGCTTCCAGTAAAGGCAGAAAGTTGGGAAACCTTCCTAGATCTTCTAGTCGGATGAAACTCAATTCTCTCAGGACAAAAGCAGCTAAGAGTTTGTCAGAAGTTGAGGACTCTGAAGAATACTCTGTGAGGGGAGAAGAAGATGATGAAGAGGGAGAGGAAGAGGAGGATGAGTATGATGACTATGACATGGATGAAGTGGAATATTTTAATCAGGAAGCTACTCCATATGAAATCTTGATGCCTAGTACAGGAAGCTTCTACCAAGTTGGCCAGAGGGTGCTTTGGAAACCACCTAGACATGCTATACCAGCTCACTTAATCAGCTGGCCTGCTCAAGAGATGGTAAAAACTAGGAATGGGCTTGGTGACAACACTGGTGTAGTTTACAAGCCAAAGGAGAGAGAACAAGATGGTGCATGCAGTGACTATGGGTATTATGGAAGAAAGATGCCTACAGCAAGAAGAGGAGGACTTGAACACCAGCGAGCACTACGGAAATTCTTGGGAGGTAAGAAAATGGCTGAGGACAAAGTGCTGCTGAATAGAACACGCAACCCACCTAAGTGCAGTTGCAAACTGTAGTTGGAGCCAGTGGGGAAGATTGGAGCAGAGCTGTAAATACTGCAGAATTAGGTTGGATTTTCTTGAGGAGAAGGGGTTTGCTACTATCTTTTGCCAATTGCAGGAGGATTCTGCATCTTCACAACCAGCAGAGGAATTTGCAAAAACTCTCCTTTGAGTTAGATTTGATCTACTTCACTTTCTGACATTAGTGGCAATTTATTGATTTGAAAAGCTTTTGGTTATTTGAACTACACATTTACCATTGTTTAATAGTATCTTGGAAACCTGGCATTTAAATGTATACGAACATTCCGAGTTCTCATCACATGCACAAGTTAAGTGGATGAAACAGGATTAAATTCATTATAATCTGGTGGCCATGCCCTGTGTAACTTCTCTGCAGAAAAGGAGTCAAACCATTGTTAGTTCACTGTAGCTGCTGCTCTCTTGCTGTTGGCAACAAAGGCTTTGCCTTATTTTAATCAAATCAGTGTGAAACTGTAAGTTTGACCTGGAAAAAAGCATGTTATTAGTCAAAGAGACTAGATTCATCTGAACTGAAAATGAGTGAAGTTATAACCAGTTATGAGCCCTGAGTGATGCAGGAAATTCAGTGAGTGGCTCTTCTTTAGTCCAGCCTTGTATTGTGACAGGTATCCAAAACAGGGTGATCTACTTTTAATGACAGTCTTGGTGTTCTTAAAGTTCATCTTCTTTGTACAAAATCTGTAACTTAAAACAGTTTGTAACATGTCAAGTGTGGTCTCTAGAAAGCCATGAGGTTTTTCCAATAGCCACTTATTATTAGATTCAGTAGCTAGCTTTGCATTCTGACTTTTGGCTTGAACAGTATAATAACATTAGTAAAACTAAATACTAACTTAATTCTTTCCTTAATTAGGAAGGCTGTTCAGGGAGAACATGGGGATACCACCTGAAGAGTACTGGATTAGAAGTGGTGCTAAACCCAAACTTACCAGCCAAATACCTGGTAGTCTCTTACCCACAGCCAGGAGCAAAGAACAAGGTACAACTTACTTGCTCAGTATGTTTCTGTGATTAAGGAACATTCAAAAGGATCTGATACAAAACAGAAAGCTTATGGTATTTGAACAAGTTTTGAGGATAAAACTAATGCTCATCACTTTGATTTTGATGAAATACCTGTCAGTGCATCTTGGGGTATATTTATATCCTTCTCAAACTGAAATGTGTGAGTAAGGATGTGTTCTAGCTACTCATCTTGTTTTAAAGGTACCAGGGGAAATCAAAGCATCAAATGCTTTGTGGCCAAGCAAAGCCTTTATTTGTGCCGACCTGCTACTTCCATAAACTATAGTATTGATTTTTCATCTGGATAATGCTTAAGTGCATGTGCAATGATAGTTCCTGATCTTGACGAGTAGAACATAGGAATCTTGTGATAGCTACGTAGGCCAGTGCTTAGAAACTAGCATGGACCACAGTTACCTTGCTACTGCTAAAGGATGTCTGCGTGCAAATCATCTTGATGTGGCTACGGGAAAGGTGAACAAATCATAGAATCATAGAATAGTTAGGGTTGGAAAGGGCCTTAGGATCATCCAGTTCCAACCCCACTGCCATGGGCAGGGACACCTCCCACTAAACCATGTCACCCAAGGCTCTGTCCAGCCTGGCCTTGAACACCACCAGGGATGGAGCATTCACAACTTCCCTGGGCAGCCCATTCCAGTGCCTTACCACCCTTATAGTAAAGAACTTCTTCCTTATATCCAATCTAAACTTCTCTTGTTTAAGTTTTAACCCATTACCCCTTGTCCTATCACTACAGTTAATGGGTTACTTTAACAAAACTAAGGTTAGCTAGTTTCTATATCTTTTTCCTCTGAAGAAGAAAGTTTTGCCTTTACAGTTAAGGTTTACTTAGAGTGCAACTTTGTTTCTAAATGCTCTTCAAGGGTGTTTTTCGTGGTAAGTGCTTTGGAACAAGTGTAGAATTTGCTGTAATCTGAGTATTACTACTGTCCTGGCTTATGTGCTTTCAAAGTATCACAGGATCAGCCTAGCAGGTAACAGTGTGATGCTATTTTCAGGATAGGCTTCTCTTAAGTGATAACATCTATCATGTTCCCCATATCAACAGCTTAGTAAATTGTTCTTCAGAGTGTGTTCCTTGGTTCTCTCTCCACATTGCTTTGGTGCTTGAGCATGTTGGGATTTGAGATTTGCCTCCGGAGTTGGATACTTTGTCCTATCTGTTACCAGATTTGAAATTGCTGTGGGTTGTTTATGCTAGCCTGCTCTGTAAAAGTTGAAAACCTCTTCCTTTATCAATACTGTTCTTGGCTCCTTACTACAGTTCATAAAAATCATAAAATAGTTCTAAAATTTTGTTTAACTTCTCAGCATGTCTCTTCTGTCTCTTCCAAGTTATAGATGGTATGGCATGCTAAGGATGTTTGTTACTCACTGCTTTTTCCTCTTATAATTTGGAGAAGCTAGCATGTTCAATGCTAGGAGGAAGGAATAGGTTTCTTAATGCTGTCCATGCCAACGAATGCCTTGGAAGTGCTAGTAAAATCACATCCTTTTTAAAATGCTGCTTATCTTAAGACTGGTTTCTTCATATTGATCTTAAATTTAAGTGCCCTGCAAGTAAAGGGGTTTGGCTAAACAAAGTATGTTGCTTTAGCAGTAATATCATATACTAAATTTGACTTCTTGAACTGTGTACCTGTGGTGCATAACTTAACAGGTCTGAAGAACTGAGTGTTTTTGAGACAGTGGCAAGTGTGGTCGCTTAGACAGCCATCAAGTAGTCTTGAACACTTAAAAAGTGAACTAGAACAGAATTATCCAACTTTCATTGGAGTTTTTTTTGTCACACTCGCATCTATCCAAGTTATGCCCCAAAATGCAATACATCCAGAGTTATGGTTAGTGATTCGATATTGTAGACATGGAGGACTGTTGCTTCACATAAGCAGTGTCAGTTTTGTCTGCCACTAAAATTGGCACATAGTGGGATGGGAGAAAGAGGAGCACTGCAGACTAGTCAGGGGAAGTCAGGCTTAAATTTGCTTTTAGACTATGCTTTGGAGAAATAATGCCAGTTGTATTTTGCTATGTAGGGTACCCACCTTTGCCTAAACTGAAGAAGAAAAGAATAAGCAAGCCACCTTCAAAACGCAGAGACACAAGATGTGAGGTGGAAGAAGCATGGGAGATGCCTAAAAGCAGTGTCCACAAAGGTTGGTATACAGTGACAAGCTACAACAATGGCTGCTGTGAGATTTTTCTTCATTACTGTCTAATAATTAATGGTTTTGTTTGAACTGTAAGAATATCAGGTTGTGAAATAATAGTAAATACATTGCTATTGTATGTGGGCAAAATTGAGGGGAGGAAAAGCAAGCTCAACTTTGAACACTGAATCACTTTGCTATGAAGACTGCTGTAGCTTTGACCAGGTTAGATTCCTTCTCCTTATTTAAGGGAAAGGAAGGAAAAAACCCACATACAAAACTCCAGTGTTTTAGTCTAGTTGCTTTCTAAACTATTAAGTGTTGGGTTCAGTGTTGCTTTGCAGTGATGCTTTTTTTTTTTAAGCTACTGGTCTGTCTCAGCAAAAATACTGTTACTTGAAACAGCCCAAATGCATATAGATGGTTCTTAAGAACTTGAACTTTATGAAGTAGGAACTTTGTGCTACTTTGGAGGAAGCTGAGAAAGGTGATGGAGGGAAATACCACATTGAGTAGGTTCAGTAACAAATATACTCTTGTGCACTTGTGGGAGAGTCTAAGAAGGCTATAGATTGAAAAGGGTTGGTATGTACAGGAAGCTAATTTAGGTTGATCAGAGTTCCTTCTGGATATGAGCAAGTTGGCATGGTAAAGCTAACCTGAATATTCAGTCAGGAAACATAAGGGGTTGAAGACAGTCTCTCTTACATTAAAGAGATGACAATTTCTTATGTTTGCAAGGTTGGAAACCATGTTGGACTGAAGCATCTTGCTACTCAAAATTGGCATCAGTGAACTGGATTATTTGAACAGTGTTAAACCCTTAATTGCTGTTCCTCTTCAATAAAAGCATCCAGAAAACGTGCATCATTCCAAAATACTTTAGATTTGCCCCAGAAACAGTTGGTGCTTCTTGGGTGCATTCAACAATGTAGTTGCAGGAGCACGTTGAAAATATACGAGTTTCATGAAGAACTCTTATCAATCTGTTATCTTGGGATATTCTGAAACACCATTCCTGCAGAATTTATCCTTACTGGTAAGCTGAGCACATAGTTTTATATCAGTGTGATCTCCTGCAGTAGGACAAGGCAACCGCTGCTGTCTAGTCTGTCTTTAGAAGCAAATTGGCATGTATTGGAGGGAGAGTGCATCGCTTAATCTCTTCCTTTTCTTTCTTCAGGGCACGGATCAAGAAAGTCCCTCTCTAAGAGACAATAAATGCCAATATTGGGGCAGGATGGGAAACAAAGTTATGTTTTGCATAAATCCCAAACTCTATTATTTTCTTGTATATTTTGTAAGTTGCTGTGCACTCTTAAAAGATAAGTAGTGGCATTGTAAAGACTGAGGACACTTAAAATGGAGTTAAGTATTTAACACTAAAAGCACCTTTTTACAGCTAGCACACCAACTATTTAATAAATTTAATAGAATTGCACTTTGAGTCTTCTTGTATTCCATCTATTACCTGGAAACAAACCAGCTTGTTACAGGGGGGTGTGTGCCTCAGTAGTATTAGTATTATTAGTCTTTACTGCTGTCCTGATGTTGAGCTCTGCAGGGTTGTGAAGCCTGTCAATGTTATCTCATAGTCAGCTTGTCTGTATGGTGTGGCTTTCAATACCAAATTATCTTCCATCAACTGGGTTTTTGGTTGGATTTTTTTTTTTGTTGTAAAAGTATATAGCTAAAACTGGATCAGGTTAAGTACTGACTTGAAGTTTCAAGGCAGCTCCTCAGGTCTTAACTCTCTTCAAGCGCATGACTGAAGAATAAAACTGAAACACTGTGGTAATGGGATGCTTCCCCCTCCTCCCCTTGTTTTCCTTTGGAGACCTTTTAGTCCCCTATGGAGGCCTTGAGCTGGAGAGGTGAACTTTGGTGAACCAGAAGTTTTTTACAACAGCACTGTACCCTGTCCCTTGACTTCTTACTGATGACATCTATAACTGCTGATACTGTCCTTGGCAACCTACTACAGGAAAATTATCTATAAAAGTAAGATGATAAAACTAGTGATCCTCTGAATAATGGAAATAGACTGATCTAGATGAGGTGGAAAGCTCAGAAGTGGCTGTTTTTATGTGGGAGTATTGAGGTTGCACTTGCTTACTTGTTTTAACAAGCTTTTATAATTACAGCCTTCACCCCAAGCTGTTAGTGAAAGGATCCACTTTAACACTATGATCCAAGTTTTTGATTTACGATACAGATTTTGATTTGGCTTTTGTGCTGCATAAAGCCTGTATTACATCAGAACCTGAAAGAATAAAATGAAGGAGGGAATGACTTCCAGCATGGAGCTTTTTAATAGTTCGGAAAATATAGGACTGCTGCTCTTGGACATCTAATATAGGAATGTGCTGCTCTTAGAGGAGGAAAGACTTTATTCTGATGGGGAGGATCAGTGGTAGAATCTCTTCAACGTGAAGATTGTTCTTAGGTAAGGACTGACTTCTTTTCCCCTAAACTTGAGCATAGCCTTGGCATTGAATACTAAGCCAGTTCTGCTGACAGACTTACCAGATAAGCAGCAAGACACAGTTAAAGGAATATTCATGACCTCACAGTTAGATGGCAGTCTGTTAATAGCTAATAACTTCACAGGTACTCCCAAGATCATGCTACTGATCCTTTCACAGGTCTTGCAGGAGTCAATGTATTTCCTACCCAGACAAAAGAAACAATTTAGGCTCTGGTGACGCCAGCTCCCAGAAAGATGTGAGGGAGTAGCAGTAGGAGTGTTTAGACAGCTCCTTGTCTGGAGAAAAAAAAAAAAAAGCTATTTTAAATGAATTCCTCAATCTTGTAGTGTACCCATGCTATGTACCCATACCAATGCTTTAAGTAGTAGGCATAAATGTGTAAGTGCTCCAGAAATACTTCTTGGGTTGTCTTATATGTGGTGTATTCTACTCTGACGGTACTAGTTGTATGACCTCAAAACTAAATCTTCTACTTGGCTTTTTTTCCACTCAGCAGCATAATTTGTGGACTGCATCTGAAGTCAACTGGTTTACAGCTATATTTAATATTCCAGTGGGTAAAATAGCCACACTTTAGGCAAGTTATGAAGTACAGACTGTGTTTTATGAGGCTGTGAGTTGGAAGTCCAGGCTGCTTTTATTTGGGCAGATAATCAGCCACAGGGATTTTTGAGATTTAACTTTACAGGTGCTCATACGTGGCACACTTTTCTCAGTGAGGCTGGACTTTCCTGTGCTGGCAGCACTGACCTTGCAACTGGGGCAAGTACAGCTCTGCCCTTGAAGCTTTCACATGCTTCCTGCAGCACCTCTGAAGAGCAGCTGAAGAATCTATTTGCTGCTTGGCACACCAGTAACGAGTGGTAGAGGCTTCTGAGGCTGGGAGATTGGTTTGAGCAGACCGAGTGTCTGCAGCTCAGAATCTGACTCCTTATTTGTAGCTGACTAAAACCTCTGTCACAAACTGGGTGTGCTGCAGTCACTGAAGTGGAGCCAGTGTCTTATGCTGGCTTGCCACGTTTTAATTCTATGTTCCAAGTGTCAATTTGGTAGCACCTGGATGGCATAAAGCTTTCGCTTTTACAATGTCCTGTCTTCTGCCTTATGTTGGAAAAAAATTGCAGGTCTCCTCATGAAAATCAAACTATGGAAGACCAGAGTCAATGGCACCTCTCCTTCCCCTCCCCCCCTTATCACATGCTGAGAGAAAAAACACATACATGGCTTAAAAAAAAAATTCTTCACATTCCCCTGACTCACTGCCATCTCAGACAAGACTTATAACCCCCAAGTGATTTCACAGCCATAGAAATAAGACATCAATATTTATACTGGACTCTGACAAGGATGGTCATTTCAGCTGTTAAGTTTCTTTCTGGTGAAAGAGCCAGGAGCTCTGAATTTACTGCTGATGTTGCTGATACAGGGAACTATCAGGAGTCATCAGTGCATCTCATCACAGGGAGACAGGCTGTATAATACTGGAGGATAAAACACAACTCTGCATTTAAGCTCTGGGAATAAGAATCCTTGCGTAGGTAGCTTTTGACTACCTTGTTTTTCCCCAGAACATATTGTGAATGACCGGCAAGGAATGGGGATTCATTTTTACTAAATGACTCTTTAAGACATGTAGGAGGGAGAAAACACATTTTAATGTATATTTTCTTTCCCCTGTCATCTTTTCCAAAGGTCTCAGGAGGAAAAACCAGTCATCTTCCATAAGATTTAGTCTGTGGTTCCTAATGTCAGTGTTAATGTTCACCTTACTAGTGTCAGAGCTTTATCAGGCCTTTTTCTTTCAATGTAAACATAAGCACAGAAACTGAATTCCATGTAAGCCCTTCCTACTCCTGTCAAGGCAAATGTTTCTCCTTCTCCTTTTGCAGACTACCACTATGTATCTCATCTTGGTCCTGAAATCACAGCTTTGTACCACTGCATCTTGATGTTTCAGAAAAGAGCTGTTTACTCTCATGCAGTTCAGCTTACTCTAGCTAAGTGAGCCTTCAAGATTAGTTAGAATAAAAGCATGGCCAGTCCACAAGGTCAACTGAGTAGGCAGAACTTTTCCTTCTTCCTGCTTCTGTGTTCTTTACTGCTGTTCTGTGATTTCCATGTCTATATTGGAAACCATTTTGAAAGCCTTACGCACTTACGTTCTTGTGGGATGATTCACAAAGTAATTGTAAACAAAAAAATAAGGTGGAATTTATTTCCCCGAGTAAAAAAACCTCAGATGTACCAAAACAACTGATACTAAAGTATATACAGAAATGAATCCTTTTCATCTTGAACATGAAAACCCCTTTTTAAATAACTACACCTACTCCATCTTTACACTCAGCTTCCAATCCTATAGGTTGGAGAAATGTTTGAGGTGTTGTAGAACTATGTGTATTAACGGTGATGATGTTGAAATTTTATTACACACAATAAAACACTCAAGTTTTATTAACCCAGCAATTTTAAGTAGATCCCCTTGATTAACCTTCCTTTCCTTCAGCAGTGCTCTTTACTTCCCAGCTGCCAGTAGTAGGACAAATACACTGAACTTCACATAGGCTGTATGCAGTATAATACAGTACAAGCTGCTGCTTATGAGCACTGTAACTGAACTCCCAGTGCTCTGTATGTAATACAATAACTTTACAGAGAAAAGACACTTCAACGGACAGCCAGCTCCTGCTGCAGGTTTGTTGGCAGTACCTTGGAAGTCGCTGTTTCCATCACATGTGGCGATGCAGAGCCAAATCTGGCCAAGGCAGATGACCCTTAGCACAGGTTTTACAATAAAGATATGGTTGATAGAGAGTTGTTTAATGCAGTTCTCTTCTGGCTGCAAAGGGGCAGGAATGGACGGGCCAGCGTAGGATGTCATATGTATCATCTATACATTCCCAGTTTAATAAAGGCTTTTCTGGTGGTTTCTTCCACATCCTTTGGATTTTTCCTTTCACTCCACCAGAAGAGGTCAAGGAGCATGCAGCAGGTGACTGCTGCTAATCAGATTCTGACTTCTCATTAGATTTAGATGACTTACGCTTTCTCTTTTTCTTCTTCTTCTTTTCTTTCTTTTTCTTTTCCTTCTTTCTCTTTTTTTTCTTATGTTTATCTCTGCCTTCGGAGGAAGTGGAGCTGCTGCTGTCTTCATCATCCTTATCACTGTTATCTTCTGAGGTAGAGTCCTCCAAGAGCTGCTTCAGCTCCTCTATCCTGAGTTTAAAAACTGGAATAAGAATCCTTTCTAGCTCCTTTTTTTACCTGTAAAACTTTATTCTAGCTTTCATCTGTTTCCTTCCTAGCCTGAGAAATGGGAGCTACATGCAAAGGGCAGGGGAACACTTCTGCTTCTGCCACATTACACTCCTGTTACAGTATTTGCAGACTGATAAAAGCAATCCCTTTAGCACAAGCAGATGCTCTGTTCTCTGGGACTTCCCATCCCATAGGATGTCAAAGGCAGAGCAGGATATTGGCCAATATTTATGTGTGCAAAATAGTAATGCTACAGCTATCACCAAACCATCCTAAGAAGTTCTGTGCTTATCCACATGCAAATGCGTGTTGGAATGCTGATATTATGACATTCACTGTCCTGATGACACACAGATGATGGTACTGAAGCCTTTTTTAGGCCTACAAGTAAACTAAATGCAAGTACCTGATTATTATGGCATAAATGAATGACTACTCTATAACCTTTGTTTTGGGGAAAAGTGTAGATGACAGAACTAAAAAAGCAGGAAGTATTATTGTGTGATTCTTAAGAAAGCAGAAATGCATTCGTGTCTACTGACATAAAGAAACTGCCATTAAACAAAATGTAAGGGTAAGCTTGTATCAAGATTTCCCCTATATTAGTACTGTGACCAAAATGAAAACCAAATTGAAAATACAGTTTACTATGGAGCCACACTTACCTCTTTTCTCTTTCTTGCCGTTTATTTTCCTTTATTATATTATACATTGGATCTTCGTGTGCCTTTAAAGTGGAAAACAGAAAATCCAGTGTTGGTAAAGCAAAGTATTTCTTACTGACTGTTACATTTCCTAAAAACAAACCAAAGCAACCCAGATCCAGAGGCTTTTATCAAAAGATGAAATACAGTTAGCAAGCTCTTAATTCCCAGGTATACTCTCAGGCTTACCATACTTAATCTGAACTGGTTTGGTTTTTATTACTTTAATGAAGGGGACCCTTCTTAGGTATAATGCTTCTCTGCCTCTTCAAGCAGTTAGCTAAGAGAACGCCTTTCATGTACTACAGGAATAGCTAGACAAACATAGAGAAATTCAAACTGAGCTGTATGCAACCTTATAGCATATTCTGTATATAAACACACAAGAATGATTACAGGAGCAAGGAATATAAGACAAACAAATAATGAAGTTCGAGTTGTCCTTGCTTGCTCTGCACTACCATTATTGATCCTTAACTCAGTTCTTATGCAGCGGAACAGGCACTGCAGCAAAGTTTGTGGCGAAGGAAGGTAGCAAATACTGCAGATGTTTAAGGTGAGTTCATGCCATGCAAGAATTCAGCAAAAAGATGGGGTAATAATTTCTGTTGGAAGATTAAGCAAACAAGTTCAACAGAGACGAGGGATCTGATGTTGACCAGAGGTGGGAATTAAAATGTCAGTAACAAATGAAAGATGTTGGGAATGCACCATGAAGGGCCTTGGACATACAGCAAGAGTTTGAAGCAACAGAGAAAAAAAACCTGAGGAACAGTGAAGAATAGAGGCAATCTTGTTATGGGAGGGAGCTAAACCCACTCTATGCAGTAGCATACAATCAGTATGAGCTCAGAATCAGGAGAGAATGAGTCCAGACTATATTTTAAAGGATAGAAATGAGGACATAAGACAAGGTGACAAGAAACTGAAATACAGGTTAAGAATGCAGAGCCACAGGAAAAGTTAAAGAGGTCATGCAGAAAGAATCTGCAGAACTGAGATGCAGCTTCATGTAGCAAGAGATCAGACCTGTAGACAACTGGATTACAGACCTAGACAACAGGCTTCATGATGTGGTTGTTCACAGCGACAGCAGAAGGCTTGAAGCAGCTGCAATGTGGGCAGCTCAAGCTTGACTAGACATGTTTTGTTACGTTGGCATTTTAATCACAAACACTGAGTATAATGGTTGAAACAGCTTCTTGAAGGTTTTCAATGTAAATGTAAAAATTACTAATTTTCCTTTTGAAGAGTAGATTTTCTGCAAAGCAGTCAAACATCCAACCACATCTGTAGCTTTTTCTTTATTAGGAGATTTTCGGCATCTGTATTATACTAGAGACAGGGGAAAAGTCCTTAATATAGCATCATCTAACAGGCTTCTCTTCACTTGCAAGATTATGCATTGTCAGTATTAACAAGTACAAGCAGTAATACTACAGCATTTGTACTCACTACTCTAAATTGTTCCAATTTCTGGTTGCCTTTAATGAAGAACGGGCATTCTTTATCTCCTGTTCTGTGTCCGTAACGCTTACACCTCCAACCTTTAAAAATCAAAGAGCAGCAGTGAATTGCATCTCTGAGCCAGATCAGAAAACCCCCCACCAAAACCGTATTTATGCAAATATTTTCCATGTATTGGAACAAACAGTATGATGTTCATAAAAGTACAGCTTTTATGAAAGGCTAGGCAAGGCTACTGCGTGCTTCAAAATACTTTTATATCAGCATGAGGTCATAGATTCATAGAATGATTTCTGTTGGAAGGGAAATTAAAGCTTATCCAGTTCCAACCCTCTGCCATGGGCAGGGACACCTTCCACTAGAGCAGGGTGCTCCAAGCCCTGCCCAGCCTGGCCCTGAACACTGCCAGGGATGGAGCAGCCACAGCTCCTCTGGGCAACCTGTACCAGCGGCTCAGCACCCTCAAAGGGAAGAACTTCTGCCTAAGAGCTTATCTCAATCTCCACTTTTGTCCTGTCACTACTTGCCCTTGTAAAAACCCCTCTCCACACTTCTTGTCAGCCCCTTTAGGGACTGGAGCTGCTCTGAGGTCTCCCCTTAAGGAGCCTTCTATTCTCCAGACTGAACCAGCTCAGCTCTCTCAACCTGGCTCCAGAGCTGACCTGCTCCAACCCTCGCAGCATCTCCATGGCCTCCTCTGGACTTGCTCCAACAGTTCCATGTCCCTCTTGTGTTGTTGCCCCAGAGCTGGATCAGGACTGCATGGGCGTCTCACCAGAGCACAACAGAAGGGGAGAATCTTCTCCCTTGACCTGCTGGCCAATCTACTTGGACCTTGTCATCTGTCCAGCACATCTGCCCTCCCCCAGTGTAAGTGGATGGCTCATGAAGGTCCAGTGACATCTGGAATATTTTCAGCCTTACACTGCATGACTTTGACTTCTTTTCCCAAAGGCATCCAAAGCCCTTTTGTTGGGGCATGTGCCAGGAATTCTCGGGCACCTTCATTGCCTGGCACATCAGGTATGCAGTCCTCTGGTTTTGTTTCATTCTCCTATGAAAAAAAAGGAGAATAAAATAACTTTTTTAACTTGCTAAAAATTAATACCTCAAATGTTCAGGCTTTCACTTACTGTGGAAGCTATTTTCCCTGTAACATTTCTTTTTCTTGTAACATGTAAGGGGTTTTAAATGCTTTTAACAGCATTAAGTAATTTGCTTTTGTCCCTCACCCTTGAATTTTCCAGTCGGAACTTTATTGCCATATTAATTCCATTCCTTCCTATTTTAGTAATTTATTTAAATAAGTAATGTAAATGAAAACTTAACAGACAAGCAGAGGCTTCTTTTCCCTCTTTCTTCTAAGAAGACATAATAATTAAAAACAGCCTTTACATCACAGATTATTTCTTTAGGTTAAAAGCACTAAATGATGGCTTAGGTATACAAATTTGGCAAAAGAAGTTATAACTGTGAAAGGAAAAGTATTTTTACACAAATATTTGAGCATTAATAACCCCAAAGCATCCTGGCAAGATGTCACTCAAACTGAAAGTCTGTTTTGCCATAAATGACTCCCCTTTAGCCTATTAAATACTGCAGGAAGTGTGTGCGCTAAGAGGTGATGAAAGAACTGGTCTCATCCTATCTGGGCATTTCACTCTGGATTCACTAAATCACGGTTCAGGTTGTAACTGAGGAGACTGAGTTTTACCTGGAAGCACCTAGTATACAGGTCACTTAAATACCTAAAAGACAGGTTTTGTGAAAATCCCTTGTCATGCTAAACATTTACTGCAATGTATTTACCAACCTTAATGAGCCCAGGGGGAGGTTTCTCATAGCTGAAAAGCAATAGGAACATTGTTACTCTGCAGCTTAGCACAAACACGTTGAGAACATACAGTACTTTGATGGTATAGAGCTAAAACTTTCCTTTCACCTCACATTTTCCCTTGGATTTCACTCTGTCAACAGGTACCAAGATGCAGGCAGACTGAGACAGTGTTTCTCAGATTGCCACACACCTCGCAAACATCCTTCCAGGTTCATTCTCATGTGGGAGAACTGCTTTCATTGCACTGCTTTACAGGGATGTGTGGTACATCCAGTTCACCTTCAGCTATCATAAATGCACAACTCCCTCTTTTTCTGTAGCACCCCCCCCATCTCACTGATCCACTCCAGCACTGCTGAATCACAGACACAACCAGCTGAAAACATCCCATCAGACTGTTCCTTACATCCAACCCTGCCAGCCAAACCTAACACATACTGATTTAATCTCTCTGTATTAAATCTAAAGACAGAACCATACTGACCCAAGTGTCATCTTTCCTGCAGCATTTCTTTTAGAGTTAACAGCAGATACAAAACGTATTTAAATCCAAACAGCAAGCAGGCCCTACTTAAGAGCACAGCACCTGAGAAAGTGCCTGTGTTGGGAGTTAAACGCCAAGGCACTATGAAATGGTCTAATTTTTTAGTCCTGCTTAGTGCATTTCACTACAGATTTTTACTGCCATTTGGAAAGGGGAAAAAAATCATATTCTTGTGAACCTCCTGATCTTCTTATTCCATTAAGCCCCTTTCAAAGAAATTCCATAAACTCTTCACAGCACTGCGGATTACTGATGGGAGTCATTCGACAGATCTCAAACCTTTGTATCTTAATTTCTTTTTTAACCCACTCTAGTGGAAAGCGGCTGCACAACCTCTGCTTCTATGCTGCAACTCCAAGACTCCCAGGAACGTGGAAGAAACTCATTTTCCCTCCAGAAGAAGTGGTTATAGAGGCACCGAGCAGCACTGCAAGCGGCCCCGCTCCCAGAGGCACGGTCTGCTTATGGACAAAAAGGAGCCACTGTTTTATACAGTTACGGGGCTGGAGCAGCCGCTGAGGGAAAGGAACCAGCCCCTGACTCCCACGGGGCCGAGCGGCAAGTAAAACCCAAACCCCCCCCCCCCCCCCCCCCCCAAGCCGTGCACTGGGAACGAGCCGCAAAGGGGCGGGGAGCCTCCCTCCGCCGCTCCTTACAAGGACTCGAGGTGCTGGATCTTCTGGAGCTCCTGCGCCTCCAGCCTCTTCCGTTTCCTCTCCTGCCGCTCCTGGCTCTTCCCGCTGAGCGCCGGGGGCTGCGATCGGCTCTTGAGCCGCGCCCGACTGCTCCTCGCCGCTTCCTGCCGCTGCGCCCTCCCTTGCCGCTCCTCCTCCGGGCCCTGTGGCGCCGTGTGGGACATGGCAGCAGTGCTCAGAGCCCCGGCAGCCGCCGAGGCCGCGGCGACGAGCCCGCCCCTCCCCGCTGCGCATTTAGGTTTCACTTCCCCTCACGGGCGGGGCGCGACCGCCCAAGCGCTGACTGCCTCCGGTGCCACGGCTGCCTTCGGGCCTCCAGGCGTGCACGGCGCTGGGCGGGAAGGGAAGCCATGTTTAGCTCACCGTGAGGCGGCAGCAGGAGCGGGGCTCCTCGCCGGCACCTTTCCCGGCCATTAGAACTAACATGTGGAGTGTAGGGCTTTCAAAACACCGATATTTAAAAATAAATAGGTGATAATAACATAAACCCCACCTCAGTGCCACAACCATTCACACACTGGGGTTGAGGCGGGTAGCCCAGAGGTCGGGGAGCAGAGACCAGGGCAAGTGGAGAGGCAGAGGCTGAGGGTGCCGTGTCCCTCACCGAGGCCTCGGGGCTGTGGGAATGCAGCTGGTGGGTGTCTGGGCATGAGGAGAGCAGCTGGGTGTGCAAGAAGGGCGTCCATAGTGGTGGTCACAGGCCACCAGAGGCCAAAATAGGCGTGAGTGGAGGGAGGAGAAGGTCAGGGACATGCCTGCAGCACCCAGAACACATGGAGGCAGGTTTGTTGTCTTTCTTACCACTTTTAGTGGGTGGGTTGCTGCCCGTGGAGGTGTGGGCTGGCTGTGGGACAAGAACCTAGCCGTAGGTCCAGCGAGCTCTGGCCAAGGCTGTGCTGGAGCTGCCTGACAAGCAAAGGGCAATTCCCTCTTCAGCCCAAAAGCACTCCTAAACAGCCCGATCTATACCCAAGTTTTGCAGTTTCCTGCCTCAGCCATGCTGGTTGGGCTGCAGGATGAGGAATGGAGGCAAGGTGGTGTTGGGAAGGTGAAGTTTGAATTGCTGCTTCAGCCTCACACTGAAGTTCAAGGCCACATGAGATTGCTTGAGAGCTGAGTGAAACATACAAAATGGATCTCAGAAGTGGAGGAATTGAAGGTGATTTTGACTGTGATCTCCTTGCTGCTTCAGAAGTGGCAAAGGGTGCTGTTTCTTGGTAACTGATATCGCAGCACCCTCTGCTTCTGGAGTAAGAGAGAGTCCTGAGAAAGCCCATCTTTTACAAAGAAAATAGCAGTCTTACGGTTTATTTAACCATGTAATATTATTAAACAAGCATTACTTTAATGTTGTTTTAGCTTCTACTTGCTAAAACCTCACTTACTTCGGATGAAAGTGTTTCTCACTTGCTTTCAGCTAAGTGGCTGCCATTGTAACTTCACATCCCAGGAAACTATTTTTGTCCAGTTATATCTGTCACAATCTTTTGCAAGGATTTGGTGCTTATTTTAAGGTTTAAACAAAATAGTCTAGCTCTTCATTGCATACCATGCCACCAATATATAATATTGATGATTTTTATTTAATGCTCCAAATTTTGTAGGCTTTCATCCCTGGAAAAAAGGCAGCAGCCATTCATGCACGGAACAACACTCAGCAGCAGAGTGACATAATCTTGGAGATGCACTTCTCAAAAGAAAACCAACTTCTGCTCTTCATAAACTAATCCCAGCATATCCATCTGGTGAAGATGTCATGAGATGTCGTGTAAGTTCTGAGAAAACCATTTTCATTCATTTAACCTGACAGAGGGGAGATTGAGATGAGCTCTTAGGTAGAAGCTCTTCCCTGTGAGGGTGCTGAGGTGCTGGGACAGGGTGCCCAGAGAAGCTGTGGCTGCCCCATCCCTGGCAGTGTTCAAGGCCAGATTGGACACAGGGGCTTGGAGCAAGCTGCTCTAGTGGAAGGTGTCCCTGCCCATGGCAGGGGATTGGAACTGGATGAGCTTTAAGGTCCCTTCCAACACAAACCAGTCTGTGGTTGTTTGATTTTGTGATTCATCCCATGGGTCTGTAGTTAGCTCATGTGTTTTGCTTTGCAGTGGGCCCTTCAGCAGTTTTATTAATAGCCTTTCTTTGAAACTAATCTGAGAAGAAGAGACTGAGCTGCTGCCATCTCTTGACATGGCAGGATGCAGCAGTTGACCCAAGGTGCAAAACTCAACGAAGACCTCTTTTCTAAAGGCTGAGAGGCAAAAGCAGTTTGCTAATTTGAGTTAAATACCACTGTGTCTACACAGAGTATGAGGCGAATGCAAGGTGATGTGATTTGAGGTAATCCGCTATGGTGCACAGTAAGCTGATGATTTCATGTTTGCTGGAGGCCAGGAGATTTGTTGCTGTGACACCGCCGGTGTGTGGGAATATGTCAAATGGCATCAGTCCTTTACATGGTCATGTATCTTCAAGCAATGAGTGAGGCAAGAGAAATGTTTTTAGTGTCACAGTTCAGTTTAGGATGTCTGAAAGGACTTAGAGGAGACAGTGTCAATTTTCACTCTATTTAGAGAAATGGCAATAGTTACTAAAAATTACGTATCAGCTGGGCTGATGCCCACTAAATAGAGACTTTATTTTGGAAGCAAACTCAAGTGATAAAATGGAGGTTTTTGTCCCTCTTTTCATTCCAGTGTTATTTTGCTATTTTCAAGTGCCTTTTTACTTCATGTTTTCAAACCAGCAGAGTAGTCAGACTTTGAAATGGCTCTCCAGAGTGTTTCTGGACAATGACAGAAAACCTGATGAATTTTCAGGTGGTGATTTTCTTGTTTATGAACAATATTTTGTGGGAGGGATGTGTGCAATAGCAAAAGAGACAGGAGTTCTCTAGAAACCCTACCAGTCTTGCTTTTGTACACCCATAATGTCCTAGTTTGGCTGGATTGAGAAGACTTCTGCCAGTTTGGAGCAGGTAAGGGCCTGGTTTAACCTCAGATTCAATGTTTTCAGCCTTGAGAAAATAATTGACACAAATTCAGGAGCTAAATGCAGTCTCAACAGAAGTGTGGGGTTGCAACTGGAGGCAGAAGGACAGACCATGGTATATTATCCTCTTCTTACCCTTAAGTCAATGAGAGCTTGGCTGTGTTCTTTGCATCCTGGTGTCTTGTATATCCAGGCCTTAATTTGTGAGCATATCAGGGCATCTGTGTAATACTCTTTGTGGTGGCAATTTAATGTGGCACACAGAAGGTAAAATTAAATAGGTAAATAAATCTGCTCAGCCACAGTGGTTTACATGTGTTCTTTCTTTGGCTGGATACAAATAATTCACTAATGTGTTTCCTCGTCTGTCTTATCACTCTATTACCCTCCTCAGAAGTACGTAGCTGTGAGGTCAGGCTTTTCCTACTCTCCATTTTTAATAGAGGGAGATTATCTAAAGCTACAGGTAACCCCAAAGTGTCTCTTTTGATCTTTGCTGAGAAAAGCCCTGCTTTCCCATATCTGTTGCACACTTACCCAAGGACACAATTGGTTTTGTGTCAGTCCTTAGGGAAGATCAAAACAAAATGAATTGGGAAGAAGGAGGGAGTAGAAAAAAAGTAGCTGTTATTTTCAGTTCTAGTTATTCCGGAACAAAGATTCTCAGTATCTGTTGCTTATCTATTGCTTAAATTTGCTCTGTTTAAAGGGTTTATATTAGCTGAGGAGCCGGTTCCTTGTACTTAGCAGGATATTTATTTGAAGTTATATTGGTTTTTCCCTTTATTTGCATATAGTGCTTCAGGCATTTCAAGAAGTTCATTTTGGGGGAAATGTTGTCTTACCATAACAGCTGGCTGTTACAGTGCTGTAATTCCAGCTTTATCAAAGCATCTAAGCAGAAGCATTAACTGCTGTCACAACACAAAGTATCTGAAAGGCCCATATGTTTCATAATATCCACTACAACTTTGTTATAAACAACTGAATGTTTCAGCTACAAGTTCTAATGCTGGAGCCACATTAATTTACATCTGTGTCATCCCATGGGCATCAGTATTCCTGTGAGAGTGTGGCCCTGGCAGAACATCAGCCAATCTGTTTCTCTCCATTTTTGGCTGGCTAGAGCTTTGAGCCAGGGTCTGTTTCTGATTATGTGTCAGATATTACGCACAGGAGAGGAATCCAGAACCCATGTTAGGCTCCATGGGAAGCTAAGTACCTCCTAATGGGATCCAGAAGCAGCAGCAGGCTGAGCAGAGCACAGTCTAAATCCAGCGTGGCCAGCCTACCACTGCCTGAAGCTAGCTGGTAGGAGACATCCATGACTCTAATTTCTGGACCATTTCTGAGCTCAGCACAGGCTACTTTGGAACAGCAGTAGCACTTTGAGCCACTTGGGATCCTTGGTTGTGAAGAGAGGTACTGACATGCTTTCTTACAGAGAAATCTAAAGTTTAGTTAAGTGGAAGTGCTGCAATTTCTTTTGTATGCTAGCTTAACAATTAGGAAATGAGAGACTTGGATTCGGTTCCCTCCTTGGTCTTGGTATTCAGTGATGGTGGCACTAGGAAAAAATACCCCAACCATCATGTTAAGGGCTACATTAGTGGGAGCCACCAGCCATTCATGTTCCACTCTTTGGGAGCAGCAGAGAAAAGCATTTGAGATTCATGGGGTCGAAAGGACAAGTGTGTTTGAACTTGGCTGTGAGTACACTAAGAAGGGTGCCCATCCCAACACTGAAAACTGTACTTCTTTCTGTAAGTTACAACATTAATGTTTTAAGCAGGGGCCAGAACCCAGTTCTCCCTTGATTAGCACCATTGCACCAACTGACAGTATCATGTTCCTATTTCTGCCTTCTTAGATTAATCTCATTTTAAAACTTGAGAGTTAATTATAAACTGGGCTCCGGCTCCTGCTTAGGTCATTGATTTTGTGTGAAAAGTGAAAACTGTTCCTACACACCTGAACCTTCACTGTGGTGTTTACTGCCACACATCATTGTGTAAAGGGAATGAGGGAGCAAATGTCTGAAAGAACACAACAGCCACAGCTGTTCAAGACTGTAAATGTCTACAGGAGCAAGCCTTTTAGGGAAACTGGGAGGAAGAACATCAAGATTTTGGATCCCAGCCAAGCATAGGAGTGAGCTAAGCATTGAGTTGCTTGTTTCTGTAAAGACTGGGGTACTACCTAAGGTATTAAAAAATGTCCACCTGCAGGAAAACTCTACAGCTAAGCAAGGAAATGTCTTTGGAAATTAGGGTTGGACAGCAGTTGAGAAAGGT